CGGCGCCCTCCCCCTGTCTCTCCTGTAAAGACTCTCTGCTCCAGCAGCAGCACCACCTTCATGCCCAGCACCTCACTCAGGAAGTTCATCTCCAGCTCTCCTGCTCCACCCGCTCAGGCTGAAGACACCACAGCACCCCCTGCAGGAGGAGAACGGCTCTGTACTGCTGGATTTTTTCCTCCACCACCTCAGTGATCAGCTATCTTCACAGATGGAGCCTCCTCCTCAGATCACTGATTCTCTGATTAAGAGAGAAGACCCTGTGAAAGAACTACAACTCCCATCAGGCCACAGGCTCAAAGCTACACCCCGGCTGGAGGACTCTGTGCTGCAGGTGCAGGTGTGTTTTGTGCGTGTCATGGTCCGGGGGTGTGCTAGTGCGTCTCCCTCTGAGCCGGCATCTCCACCGCTGGGAGGGGCCTCTGTGTTCTGCTGATTGCTCGCACCTGTGGGTGATTAAGCCGGGGACTCATAAGGCCAGCGTACGCAACCTCTCTTCGGCAGATTCTCAGCTAACCCTTCCACGCATCAAGTTGCTGGACGCAAATCTCTGCCGAAGAGCTCCCATCTGGACGCTGGACCACCTGCCAGTCCCACGGGTTGTTCACCCCGTTCACCTGCCTGCCTCCCTGCCACTACAGACCACCTGCGCTAACTCACAGCTTGCCCATATTCCTCCCGAACCCTACCTGAACGTCTATATTCAGTGACTCTGACCCTTTCCCCGGACCCAGGTTGACTCTCCCTCCAGCCCAATCCTCGGAGCAGCTGTTTTCCACTGACGAATGACCAGATTGCTCACTTAGCTCAGGCTGCATAAAGCTCTATGGTTTAGTTGTTGTATTTAGCATTTGTGAAACTCACATTCCAGTTGTGAACACTTGTGGTGAAAATAAAAGTTGTCACTGAAACTACTTGCGTGCTGTTCGGCACCCAGCAATTGACCGTGCATACCTGATGTGGTAACAATGGCTCTCTTCTCCTCTGGTTGGCTCAGCACGCCCTCCTGACTGTGACACGTGGCGGTCGTGTAAGGATGAAGCTTGTTTATCTGTTTGGAGCTCAGGCTCAGCACCCTCACCTGCACTGCTGTTTACATCAATAACGAACTTCTGCTTAGTTAGAAAAATTAAGCAGACTAAACTTGAGTTGCTTAAATTAGAAGAACTAAGTAACCTGGAAATTAAGCTTTTCAGTGGTGGAAGGTAACTAAGTACATTTACTCTTTATACTTTACTAGGTTATAGTAGGGCTGTTCATATAACCATATATATCGGATGACGATATAAAAACATCTATCGTTTCATTTTACGCTATCGTTTGTTTCGTGGTGTCGTAAAATAAACTGTTTACGATAATGTTTTTCATCGTTCTGATGGTCGCTGTAGTGGCTATGTTCATTTCTTCAAGTTCTCTCTTTCTCTTATATTTAATATAACCACACTACGGACGGACAAGCGCCTGTTTTTATGCGTTGTCGTTAGCAACAACGATGGTAAGACCATCGCGTGTCCGCTTGTTTATGTTCCACATAAACCTTTTTTGCTGGGAGTTGGCAAACCTACTAGTTAGGCTGCTTACTCTTTAAAATACCAGAATAGGAGGATTGAGCAGGTTTAAGTTAATTAGATTGATCAGTTTTGCTGAACTATGAAATATTTTGGGTGCAGTGTATTTTTTGCATACAGGTATAACAGGATAGCTTTAGTGTTGTTGTTTATTTAAAGTTGAGTTTGAACTTATACAAAATGCAGAAAGATATTTAAAAAACAGTTTTATTTATTAAAACACACTATATCGGATTCATATCGGTATCGGACATAAAAAAGTGGTATCGTGCCATCTGTAGTACGCAGTAACAGAGAGCATGGAAGCAGAGCAGCCCACCAAAGCACCAGACATCATGAGCGAATATTCTGACGTTTTCAAAGGCATTGAGGAATTCCAAGGTGAGTGCAGCTTCACAGTGGACCCGACTGTCGCACCAGTCGTGTGCCCACCAAAAATAGTGCCTTTTGTCCTCACAGATCGGGTCAAATCAGAGCTGAACAATATGGGAAGAGACAAGATTGTCCAGAAAGTGACAGAGGCCACCAAATGGGTCAACGTTGTTGTAATCTGCGAGAACCCGAAAAGACCCAAACTCCGGCTGTGCCTGGACCCAAGACCTCTAAACAAAGCCATAATGAGACCACACTATCCATTCCCCACTCTTGAGGATGTGACATACAAGCCTACAGGTGCAAAGTTTTTCAGCATCCTCGACGCACGTTCCGGCTATTGGCCCATCAAGCTAAGTGAAGAGTCGTCCTTTCTGACTACTTTCAACACAATCTTCGGCAGACACCGTTTCCTCAGACTCCCCTTTGGCATTGTGTCTGCTCAAGATGAGTTCCAGAGGAGGATTGACGAGACGTATGAAGGCCTGGAAGGAGTGGCAGGCATCGTGGACGACATCATTGTGTTCGGGAAAACAAAAGAGGAACACGACAAGAACCTCAAAGCCATGCTCAACCGCACAAGAGAGAGAGGTTTAGTGCCGCATCTGTGTTACAGAGGTGAGCTTTTCCGGACATAAGCCCACAAACAACGGGCTGAAACCAGACCCACTCAAGGTAAAAGCTATCAAAAACATGAAACCTCCAGAAAACGCTGCAGAGCTGGAGACAATCCTAGATATGGTGAATTATCTCGCCAGATTAATTCACCTGGCAGAAATGAGCGCACCACTCAGACTGCTGCTGCGCCAAGACATGCTGTTCAAATGGGAAGAAGAACACGTGCGTGCTTTCCAGCAAATCCAAGACACCCTTACTGCCGAACCAGGGCCAGTGCTTGCATATTTCAACCCTCAAAAGGAGGTAACACTACAAATAGACGCTTCTAAAAAAAAAGAAGGAAGGCCGGTCACATACGCGTCGAAACCGCTCAACAAAACAGAGCAAAACTACGCCCAAAGAGAGAAAGAACTCTACGCCGTCCTCTATGGCTGTAAAAGATTTCATCACTACATCACTGCACCGCCTGGACTACAACGTACGCTGCTTGCGCTTCAGAAGTACAGCATAACACTTGTCCACAGGCCTGGAAAAGAGATCCCAGTAGCAGACACGCTATCAAGAAAGTCAATAGACGACAGTAACAGCTCACTAAGTGAGGAAATGGAAACACAAGTACACACAATCATCCAGACAGCACCAGTGAGCACAGAGAAACTGGAATGCATCAAAACCGCCACGGCCCAAGACGAACAACTCTCTACCCTCAAACGCATCATCCAGTCAGGCTGGCCAGAGACACGCAAAAAGTGCCCAGAACCTGTCAGTGAGTACTGGAACCATCGCAATCACTGAGGCCGATGGACTCCTTTAAGTTACTTGAAGACGTTTCACCTCTCATCCGAGAAGCTTCTTCAGTTCTAGGGTCAACTGAAATTAGCAAACTAATTCCATTAGTAGAAATATGTCTAGCTTATAATTAAAATTGTGGAGAAAAAAACACAACATCCAGTATCTCAACAAAAACGTTTCTGCTCTGAACTGGAAGAAAAAACCCTGAGTAGAAGCTCACATCAAGACAATAGCTCCTCGGTTCACAGTAGCATCGCTCTGCTAACAGCACATTTGACCAGTGTTGCAAACTCCTCAGTAAGGAAAATCGCTATTGGTTGTCCTAAAAGTCGCTAAATGACGTCATCGCCTAATTTGCATAATTGGTCATGCTAATGTAATTGTAACCTATGTTGTTGGAGAGAGAAATAACATCGTGGAAGAGACATAAAGTCAGTAAAAAAACGTCCTAAATGCATTTAGAGTCTATTTAGAACTACAAATTAAATTTCTTTTAGCAATTATTGTTTTTTTAATGACACAATTCCAACCCTGCTCCTTTACCTGGGCTTGGACCGGCAAGTGACCCGAAATAGGCGCTCTGGTGGAGTTACTGTGTGTGTGTGTATAAGTAGTTTTAAACCTTGTGATCCACAAAACAGCATAAGAGTAAAAGAGTAAAAGAAGAACTGACTGCGTTACAGCACCCGCTGCTTGTTGAGAGTAAAAGCGATACGCGCTTTCACGTCTTTTTTTAAAAAGACTCACTCACCCCCTCCCTCCTGGCTCACAGCTTCTTCTTCTTGGTTGGCGACCAATGTTAAGGCGCATTACCGCCCCCTGGCTCACAGCTCAGAGGACATTTAGATGAGAAAATATATATTTGACACATTTGAGGAAAATACTAATAAAAAAAATAAAAATAAATATTTCCTTTAGAATGTTTTAATGTTTTTGCTCTATAAAATAGTTGTTTTCTTTTACAATCACTCGTCTTAGCAGTAGGATTTACATGAAAAGAGAAGCAAATTAAGTTTGAGTGAAAATGTACATTTTTGCACTCTCTGGTCGACTGACTCAGTGACTCAAAAAACCCGATTCACTTCGGTGAGTGACTCATTAAAACTCGATTCAGTAAAAAGAATCAAATTTATCATCACTAGCAGTTACTCGATAAGAGCCCAGACCAATCACATGAGCCAAGGTGTGAACACAGGTGTGGGTCACAATCAGCCAAGGTTTCGGGTGAGCTCGTTGTCAAACCTACCCAACCCTATCACGTCACTTCATTTCTTGCAGCGTGCAGCTGAGGCACAACGCATTGCTTGCATTGAAGAGTCCTGCATTTTGGGTCCTACTTCCCCACACACCCACGGTCTGCCACCACAGACTGCGACAAATTTGGTTGGATAGAAATGTCTAGAAAAGGAGCTGATGGACACAAAGACATCAGCGGGAATTATTTTGGCTTTTGTCAGTCACATTTATATTAATCAGGCTACTCTCGATCAGCCTGTGTTACCGTTCGTTTCATTGGTGCTTTGGTTTGGGGAAGTTGTTTCTTTCCTGATCTTTTCCTGTCTTCTGTTCTCAGACCTGAGATAGGACTGCTCTCTGCTCTATGTCTACGAGACGTGCTGTGGAAGTAAACAAACCACAGTTTGGTCTGCAGCTATTCAGAGATCAGATCCCACAGAGGGTCCAGGCTGTCTGCACTGTATGTAGTCACGTCTGCAGCTTTTCGTGTCCAGATTTTTCTGCAGATCATCAGAATGAAAGTGATCGGCCATGTTTACAGAGCCCTTTTTAAAATGTACTTTCGTGACATTATTGTGTGCGTGTAAACAGAGAGCTGCTCTCTGATTGGTCCCTGCCTGCTGTGTGTGTGTGTGTGATGCTCCTGCCGCAGCAGCGTGTGGTGCTGGTTTTTACGCGTCACTTCATTTCTTGCAGCGTGCAGCTGTGGTGGCTGTCAGCAGCTGTTGGAGCTGCTCTGAGGCGCATTCAGCTCCGTCATGAAGCTCAGGCTGCTGCTCGCTCTGCTCTCAGGTAACTGCTGTGTGTGTGTGTGTGTGTGTGTGTGTGTGTGTGTGTGTGTGTGTGTGTGTGTGTGTGTGTGTGTGTGTGTGTGTCTGTCTTTCCTCTGCTTCAGTTTTGTCTGTAAAACCTTAAATCCAGATGAGCAGATCTCTAAGAGTCTCTGACTGTGAGCAGCTTCCTGTCTCTGAGTCGTTGATAGCAGCATTAAAGCAGAGCCCATCATCAGGTCTGTGCTGCTCTCTGCTCTGTGTAGGTCAGTGACGGGGGGCTGGCACCACAGAGGAGCGCTCGCTACGTGACTCTGTGTGCAGAGCGGTCGAGCTCAGTCTGAATGAAAATGCTTTTACAGAAACGAGCGCGAGTCTCGCCTGCTGATGTGTCTGTCAGGACAAACACGGCTGCAGAGCGTGTTAGGGTCAGAGGTCAGTCTGCTGTTGGAGTTTAGTTGTTCAGTCTCAGCTGCACAGCTGGGTTATAGACACAAGCGTGTGGTCATGTTGTGACTTGGACAGACCCGGGTCACCTGTACATGAACACACACATCAAACCTGGTTTCATCCCAGTCTGCAGCCTGAACTGGTCTGGGAGGGTTTGTAAGTGTTTGATGGGACGACTTCATGGAGCTGTGTGAGATGTCCCAGGCTGCACAGCTGAGTCTACTGGAACCAGTGAAACCAGTGAAGATGACGAGACGCTGACCTGAGCAGAGTTTGGATCTGATGTAACAACGTTTTCCTGTGTTTCTGTTTCCAGTCTGTGAATGTGACAGCAGGGTCAAAGGTCACACAGGTCAGGACGTCACTCTGCCCTGTAAATATGACAGGAAATATCACGGCGCCGTGGAAGTGTGCTGGCAGCGAGGAGAAATACCGCTCAACAAGTGCTCCAATCAGCTGATCTCCACAGATGGAGACAAAGTGTTAACCAGAGCTTCCAGCAGGTATGAGCTGCTGGGCCGACTGGAGGACGGAGACGTGTCTCTGACCATAAAGAGCCTGACAGAGGGAGACACTGGACGATACGGCTGCAGGGTGCATATACCCGGGCTGTTCAACGATGAGAAGCATCAGATCGACCTGACCGTTGTCCCAGGTGAGTCTGCAGCTGAGGATCAAACAGCAGAATCCACTCGTGCGTTTAAACTGTCTGCCTGAACTTTTATGTTCATGATGGTAACGAGTTCGTGTTTGTTTCAGCTCCACAAATTCACACATCAACAGCCTCGACGACAAAGACCACCGCGGCCTCTCAGACTGCAGGTGACCGATCCAAAGCTGTGTGTAGTTTATAACGCGCTGCACACTCGTCCTGCTCACAGCAAATCTGCACATGAAACCAGGTCTTTCAGCTTAAACCCATCATTTCCTCAGTGACACACAAACAAACAACAGCATTTCTGTGGAGTAAACTTTATTAGTCGTCACATATTTACAGCAGCAGCTCCTGATTTGTCAGATTGATGGTCCCAGTGATGCTGTGACATCAGGCTCCCAGTGTGTCTGCGATACAGCATCAGCAGGTTAAAGTGAAGCTCTAGAGCGTAGGTGTCAAACTCTGGCCCGCGAAGCCACACCAAATTACTATCAGAGCTGGCCTACTGCTATTATACAGCTAATATATGTATTGTTTAGTATTAAGCTTTGCTTGTTCCATATTCAGTTTTCCAGCAAAACGTGTCCATAAGAAAAGATTCATTCTTATATCTGGAGGAATAAATATATTTCAATAAATATTAACGTTAGCCCGCGACTTTGTTCCAGTTTTGAATTTTGGCCCACTGTGTATTTGAGTTTGACATCCCTGCGCTAGAGCGTCGGGCTGCTGATGAAACTCCCTTTAAAGCGGTTGCTTTCACTTCCTCATCCTGCAGGTCACCTGACCTCCACAGAAAGCCTGCTGACTTCCTCCCACAGTGTGACGAGCGGCAGTGAGGTGAGAGATCCTGTGAGAAACACAATGAGTAACCTGTTCTATTGATGTCAGGCGTGTCTAATGTTGGAGACTGAAGCTGTTTGTAGAAGTCTCTCCTCTGAGTACCAGCAGCAGGATCCATGTGAGCGTCCCCAAAGGACGGAGTGATGTGCACAAACAGCTGTGGCTTCAGGGTGTCTGTGGTCCAACTACACATGCACTAATGAAAGGTCCTTAAATGAAACAGCAGCACTGAATCCTTTCGCATCCTGTCATCAGGGGCCGGAAAACGGAGGCAGAGGACGGCAGGCTAAGAGTTTGGTGCTCGTTGATTGTTTGATGCTTTTGATTGGTTGGGTTTGGACGTTCAGTGCTTTGAGTCTTTGGTTCTGGTTATAATTTTGTTATCGATGTTACCGTTAGTACTGCCCGTCACCCCCCGCGGTACAAGCCACCGACGGTCGATCTCCAGAGACTTCATTATGGACGTAGCCTGGTCTAATGGTTGCTTTTACTCCCATGTGATTATATTATTAGCGTGAACGTCCTGATTACCCGGTGTGTGTATAAATAGTCCCGCCCCTCAGTTCCTGCTCTGGATTTTGTTTCTTTGCCTTTTTGTTGTCTTGGATCAGCTCAGTCTGCTGCTCACGTGTTGCTAATCTGCACAGACGTGTGACGTGTTAAACCGCCGCTGTGTGTTTGTGTGTCTGCAGAAGCAGGAGGGCGGAGCTCTGACGGGCGTTGTGTTCTACGTGCTGCTGGGTTCGGTGTTGCTGCTCCTCATCGGTGAGTTCTTCAGCTCGCCACAGCTGCGTTACATGTTTGACCCACTGCTGTTTCTCATGTTACTGATCAAAGACGACTGTCAGAACCTCACCTCCACACTGAATGCTGCGAGTGACGCCCTCACGCAGCCACGACGTCACTTCAGATGATCAGAGATGGAAAACCTTTCAGTTCTGTTATTGTCTGAAGTTTCACATCCAGTGAGTGTGAAACTCTGAAGCCAAAACAAAGCTTTAGTTCTGCACTGAGCCTGATGTGTTTCCACCTTCGTTTGGTGCCAGGATGGGATCCAGATAAACATCCATCCTGTTCAGTTTCAGCACTCGTGACTCCATTTATGACGCCTTCTAACTTCCCATCAAAGTAACTGTAATGATCAGAAGCTCATATCTGCAGAGCAGCTCGCCCAGCTGAAGCTCGGTCACGGTGTGCGTGTCCCGGCAGCTCTGTGGTTTGTAGATGGCGGCTGCAACAGGGTTTCAAATGTTTACAGGGGCACGAGGTCGCCCACAGCTCACGTCTGTCTGTCCTCTGTGTCTCTGCAGCAGGAGGCCTGAAGCTGCTCTGCAGACGGTGAGTATGATCATGGACTTCTTCTTTGTGTCTCCTGAATAAATGACGCGGCTCAGCGCCTCGATCATCGACGGCACTGAAGGACGACATCTATGAGCTTTTCACGATTTCTCAGCCTTCAGTCTGTCGATACAGCTTCATCATAACGTCTTCACACGCGCTCAGACTGAAACCAGATGTGTCCAAAACCACAAACCACACAGCCAATTTCAAACGAGCGGAAACTGAGCAGCGAGCTTCAGACCCTTTAAGCATCCTCATGAAGCTGCAGCCCGCTCGTTATTTTAACGGTCACTCCGCTGATCATTTATCTGCAGTTTATTTTCCAATTTCAAGTCAACATAGTTTCTACAAATTTCCCTGAAAGTTCAGCAGCTTTAAAGAATCCTACAAATGAGTCTAGAACGTCTCCACAGGAAGTCTTTTATTCTGTACAGGAAGTAACTATGAAGACATTTAATAATAATTAAAGCTGCTGACTCTCGGCTCTCGTGTCTCAGCCCTCAGAAGTTTCAGCAGTTCGACACCTCGGCCCGCTTCAGCTCCACGTCGTCTGCTGTGCAGCTTCACAGCAAAAGCTCCGCCGGGGACGCCGTGTACCACATCAGCGGCAGCGAAGGCGTATACGAGAACTACTTCTGCAGCTCTGAGGCTCCGCCCACTCAGCTGCCGGGGCTGAAGACGATATAACGAATAACAACAGGCTTTCTGGAGTTTGAGCCAGAGCTGTGCCTTCATTTCTGTCCAATCAGAGAGCTTCAGGTGGTAAATCTCCCTCAGGTGGGAGGGTCTGTAGGCAGCAGGTGGTTAACAGACTAACATGTAAATACAAATGAGCTCTTATTGTGAAAGATCTGGTATGATTTCAGGTTTTTCTCAGATTTAATAAAATATTTGAAAAATTTTTTGAACTTCTTTGATCAGAGTTTTTATAGCTATTAGTTTTTCATCCTTTAAACATTTTCTCTGTTTGTTGAACATTTAAACCTATTTTCTGCACATAAAATAAAATATTTTTTTGTGTTTATGTGTAACCGGTTTCTGCTTCATCCCGCTGCAACAGTTCGGCCCAAACAGACTCCTCGACTCTGCGTTGTGTAGTGTTTAAGAAGACAAGGAGTCTCTGATCGATCGTTGCCACTTTATTACCCTCTCGTATGGCTACAGCAGACTGGCCGCGATTACTGCAGCCATATTACAATTTTTAGTATACAATAAAATAACAGCAACAACAAGTGATGTACCTGAATGGAAACAACGGTGTTGTATCAGTGCAAATGGCTCGCCACACACCACTCCGCACAGCACACTACGGCAGAGCATCCATTAGCATTCCGCTTTAGCATACAGTTTCACACATTAATAAACAAATGAAAAGTACATAAAACTGGTGTTGGACATGTGTCCACTAAGCACTTATCACACTCGGTGCTCATCAGCTAATCAAACATGTTTTATGTGTCTGTACTACTTGGCTATATCGTGTGCGGAACAATACAACTCACCTCTCGTATGGCTACGGCAGACTGGCAGCGATTACTGCAGCCAGCCTCACCTAACCAGCCACACTGAGAGGGGGGGCGCTGTTTCCCCATTGCACTGATATTTGTGGCAAGTGGAATAATACCATATAAACACTGTTACATATGCACAAAACAAATTTCCCCTTGTGGGACAATTAAAGGATTATTCTATTCTATTCTATTCTACTCTAAAAATCAAGTAAAACACAGCAGAAAATAAATAAAGTCAAAGACTCAGCGGTCCTGTTGCTCTATTTTCACCTGTAAAGCAGGAGTGGGGTAGGCGGAGGTTTACCCTGGTGCAGGTGTACCGCGGCGGTCAGTTGAAGAATCCGCGAGTGTCTCTGTGAGTTTCCCATCACGTCGTAGCTACTCTGTGCTTGTTGGAAGTTTAGGGGTTTTTTTCGCTGTAAAAAGAAGTTTTCTTCCCACGCACGATGGACACTAATGTTTTTGTCACTTTTTATGGAATCAAACTCAAAGTAAGGTCAGTACTTCCACGCTTTAAACGCTGCACGCTCATACTCTCTCGATATATGATCCATTATTGATCTGCACACAGCTGTTGTCACGAACGGCGCACTCGCTTACGTCACTGTCGTGAGACATTCTCGCAAAAAATCACAGTTTTAGTAACGCAGTAACGCAGCGTTCCTACGGGAAAGTAACGGTAATCTAATTACCGTTTTTGCTAAGGTAATCTCTTATTTTACTCATTAATTGAAAAAGTAATCGGATTACAGTAATGCGTTACTTGTAACGCGTTACTGCCCATCTCTGCCCGTTAGTGACTTAATCACTATAATCATAGTAATAATTTGTGGCACATCTCGTATAAAGTACAACATTCTTGTTGTTTTTGACATGTTGGCTCTCCCTCGCTCCTCAAATATAAAAAACTTTATTATATTATTGTGTTTTATGCATTAAAATCTAAATATGTCTTACAATTATTCAGATCCTTCCACTGCATACTCCACATTTACTCAAACTACAGAGTGACTATAAAGAAAAGTAATCTATTACACATTACTTGTTCCTTTTCTTAAATGTAATGCAGTATGTTTGTTACTTTCACGTCTCTGTAAAATGACCTGAAACACACGGTCTCATAATATACTGTAAACCTGAGGCTAAGCACACCATCATGAACTCCTCGTGAGGACACACCGGATGTCTCAGCACAGAGAGGCGGTCGCCACGGTGATTCTACTGTAGAGACATGAGCAGGTAGAAACAGCAGCCTGACTGTTACCTGGTGAAGTTCAGGCTCTGGCTGCTGTGCTGGAGTCTGCATACATCACTGAGTCTGTGGCTAGCTTACCGTTAGCTTAGCATTAGCATGGTGATGTGTCGCTCATAACAGCAGACTCCTCAGGGAGAGCCGAATGTTCAGCACTAGTGATGCGCGAATCATGAACGAATCGTTCAATACTCGAGAATCATTTTACTGACTCGTGAATCATGATTCACAAGCCCAACTGACTCACTGACTCATCCCTGTTGCTGTTAGCAAACTAATTCCATTAGTAGAAATATGTCTAGCTTATAATTAAAATTGTGGAGAAAAACACAACATCCAGTATCTTAACAACAACGTTTCTGCTCTGAACTGGAAGAAAAAACCCTGAGTAGAAGCTCACATCAAGACAATAGCTCCTCGGTTCACAGTAGCATCGCTCTGCTAACATGCTAACAGCACATTTGAGCTACTCACCCCCTCCCTCCTGGCTCACAGCTTCTTCTTCTTCTTGGTTGGCGACCAATGTTAAGGTCCATTACCGCCCCCTGGCTCACAGCTCAGTGGACATTTAGATGAGAAAATATATATTTGACACATTTGAGGAAAAATAAATAAATGTTCCCTTTAGATTTTTTTTGCTATTTTTTGCTCTATAAGATAGTTGTTTTCTTTTACAATCACTCATCTTAGCAAATTAAGTTTGAGTGAAAATGTACATTTTTGCACTCTCTGGTCAACTGACTCAGTGACTCAAATGACTCAAAAAATCCGATTCACTTTGGTGAGTGAGTCATTAAAACTCGATTCAGTAAAAAGAATCAAATTTATCATCGCTATTCAGCACCTGCTGCTCAGCCCTGATGAGAGTCCAGGCAGGCGGTACTTTGTACTGACGGGCACACCATGCAGCCAATCACATGCAAAGACACACTAGGATCATACTATTATGTCAAATATGGAAGGGGGGGGACAGATCCAAAGACAGCGAGTGTACAGCTGCAGGCCTGGAGGACAAAAGATTTGAAACTTTTGTCCGGGTGTGTTCTCCATAGTAAAAACATTCAAACGAAGCTTTTAATAAAATGTTTTCCCAAAACATTCAGAATTGATAAATTACACTAAAATACAGTGTTGGACTGAAGAGCCATCGGACAGCACGAGTTGTGTTAGCAGTGCTGCTGCTTCTGTCCTGGAGCCGTCTCCACTTTACCGTCACGCTCTCATCCTTTTGTGCAATGACATAAAAGTCACGTTCACAGCTGTGTGGCTGCTCTGCTGTCCGTCCTGCAGTGATTAAATGCATTACTTTACTGCATTACTGAGAATGTAATGTGATTATAGTAACGTAGCAAGTGATGATAACACGTTACACTCAGCACTGACTGTAAATGAGGCAGTTTATGTTAAACTGCATTGCAAATGTCTCAATCTGACATACAGGTAAAAAAAAAAAACTGGAACATATAAAGTGTTTTATTTTAATTTATATATTTTTATAAAGTTGAATGAAACCAGTTTAAATAAATAATCAAACTTGTTTTTAACACATTTTAAATGAACGAGATGAGACCTCGTATGCAGCTGAGTTCAGCAGGCTCCGCCCACCTGAACTCCATCAGGTTTATCCGAAACCTTCACCTCCCCAATCAGAGCGACCACATCAGTCACACAGGTAAGACGATCCCACTTTTATATCATCTCATTATTGTTCAGGTTTTAGTCGCAGCAGCTGGGATTGTGGGTTTGTGTGTCTGCTGCTCTTTGCTTCTTCGATGGTTTGAAACAGTTATTCTAACATTCCTGTCACGTTGTCTCACATGAATGTTGTTGTTATACCTTTAAAATGTTCCCTGAGCAGCTGGTAGAACTCCACACCAAACTCCATGCAAATATTGTCTTATTTTACCCGTGTCTGTGTATATCCACTGATCACAGTCTTGGGCTTGATGATGACTGTACAGCGTGTGACGAAATATTTGGTATTTTCATTCATCCTCACTGCGTCCACAGGATACAAACATGGGGGATTCTCTATAGAGCTCACCCTGGGTCAACACACCTGAATCACATGATTAGTTCATTACCAGGCCTCTGGAGAACCTCAGGACATGTTGAGGGGATAATTTAGTCATTTAAATCAGCTGTGCTGGATCACGGACACTCGAGTCCTGGTGTAGACGGTGATGAGAACTGTTTCACCTCGAGCTTCATATTTTTTCAAAAATCATCAGCAACATTTGGATTTGATAAGACTTTTTAATGTGGTTTGTGTGACTTGTGTACATAGTTTAATGTAACCTCATATTTCCTGTTTGTAAAATATCAAAGTAAAAGCTTGAACTCGTGACAGCTGCATGATCCTTTCAAGATCACAGGAAGTGGACCTGACTCTTTGGACCGTGGAGGTTTGTCTTCTCTCCTCTGTGGCTGCGTCGTGCTGTTAGTGCCGACGTTCTCGGATGTTTCTTGTTATTGTTTCTCCCGTTGCTCACACGGCTCTCTGCATTCCTGTGACAGTGCAGTTTGTAGATAAAGTCTCGGTGCTGGTTTCTGTGGGTCACATCTCTGTGGGCGAGTTGTGGTCCACTCTTCTTTACAGCTGCAGGTCATTGAGGCTCGCAGCATCCATGCACAGCTCTCTGATCTTTGGTTCTTGTGGTTAGTTCAGGTGCAGCTTTGCAAACCTAAGTCAAGCTGCCTGGCGGCTCTTCCAACCAGGCTATACTCTTCCAGCAGCTGTAAGCCCAGGGTCCCTCACTCACACCAGTCAGGAGCTGCGATCTGTCCGTGAGTCCCGGCTCTGTCCCGGGGCCTCCGTCAGTACGACATGCTTCAAACGCCCAGCAGGAGCCCAAACCTCCTCGACTGGCTCCTCTCGATGTGGCGCAGCGGTTCAGGTTGGAGCTCCTCACCCTAACTCTAGGAGAGGGTTCAATCTTTTTCTCATGTCCTGTCATGAACTTTGACCTTTGCCCTGCTAACTCAGGGAGGCGGTGACCCGTGTGAATAACTTGTACTAACGCACACTTGTGATGATTATGGAATCTGTTAATAAATGATCACTAACGACTGGGTACCACAGGTGTGACGATGAGCCGGCCGGTGATGACGCAGCCTCAGCAGCTCTTCGTTTCCTCGGTGGAAGCTGACTGGGCTTCAGGGATCTGCGACTGCTGCGACAACAAGAAGCAATGTAGAGTAACAACCACGCTTCAATCAGAGCGGACTTCACTGATCCCACGCTGACACTCGGGACCAGACTAACAGCTGGACACGGGCATGCAGCCGACGCTTTAACAGCTCATAAGAATTATTATAAGAATCTAATTGAACATAAACAAACACTCGTTCTTTAATTTATCAGCTTCCACAGAGACAAACATCAGCTGTCATCTGTTTTCCTTTGATTTTAAATAAGTTTATCATTTTAAATAGATCAGAATATAAACAGCACTGAGGTCACATGTTCGTTCATTCACACTGAATCAGTTTGAATCTAAAAATGTCCCAAAGTTCAGAATCAGACACAAAGCTTCTTTGGTTCTTTGATGAGTTCATATTCAGAGCAGCTGCTGAGGCTCTGCACCAAACTCCATTCAAAAAGCGTCAAATTATCATCAGTGTGTGAATCCATCCAAAGGCTAACAACATCAGCTGAGGTTTGGTTTTACTCGCATCTTTAAAAAAACAAAAACATCGTCTGAACCTAAGCAGCATCTACAGTGTAAACAATACGTTTATTTGTTAAACAAAAGGAAACAATTCATATTTTATGATTGAACTTTTTTTAAAATCAAATATAAAGATGCTGTTTTTATTTTTATTTAGAGTTTGCAGTTTGTTGCTCTTGTTTTTTTCAGTTTTTTGTGTTACTTTGTTTCATGTCGTTATTCAGTTTGTTTGTCGTCGTCTGTCGTTCAGGCTGCTTCGCCTTCTGGTGCTGCCCCTGCTTCGTCTGTCGAACCACCCAACAGTTCGGTCAGTGTCTCTGTCTCCCCCTGCTGGACGTGTTCGGCTGCGTCCGTCCCATCACGATGTCCATCAGGGTGTCGCTGCGTCAGCGCTACGGCATCAAAGTAGGACCACGAGGTGGCGCTGAGACGCTCGTTTGGTTGTAGTTAGCAGCCGCTAAGCTAACATTAGTCAGTGTGGCTCACTCTGCCTGTTTCAGGGGAACCTCTGCACCGACTGTTTGTGCTCCACCTTCTGTCTGCCCTGCGTTTGGTGTCAAATGGCCACCGAGATGAAGAAGCAGAAGCTCCCCACCATGCAGTGACATCATCCGCCAGTGATGATGTCATCAGCGTGAAGTCATTGCTCCAGACCGGCCGTCGTGGCCCAGCTCCGCACCAGGACAAATCAATAATCATCAGTGTTTACTGTGTTTATCAGTTATTTGTTTTTAACAAACCAGTTTTTGTTATGTTGCTCATCTGTTTACTCGATTTAGATGTTTGTTAGCTTAAATTCATTAAAATTAAATTCATGCTTGTGACTGAGCTTAACGATGAATCGAGACTGGAGAGAAGCTCAGATCTGATATTTAATCATTGCACAAATATTCAGTCTGTGTGAGCTTTGAAGGTGATTTCAGGATTCACAATTCACATGAAACCATTTAAATGTTTTTACACAATTCAGGTTTGGCTTCTAGCCAAATTCAATACTGACAAAATAAAAACCTTTAAAAATGGAAATTGTATTTAAACTTTTTTTTTATTTCTTCCCGATCAAATGTAATGAAATAAACACTATGAGTAATGTGTATGTGGAATCAAAGGTCTTATACTGTTCATTACTTTTCATTTAGCAGTTTTTCATTTTACTGTCGTGTCACTTTGCAATAAAACTTGATCATTACGTTTATAAGAAAAATATTAATAACATACTCTCTTCAGATTATTCTGATGAGCAGTAATTAATTTGTTTGTTAGCTTCTTGTAATGAAAGAAAATTCGAGTGTCCACACAGTGAAGCTGGTTTTTAGATTTTAGGGGGAAATTATTTCCTTCTTACTGAATCCAAAACTCTTCACTTAAACTTTCACTTTTTTTAATGTTATTATTTATCTCTTTATAGACATAGATATAGATATATATTTACGAGGAAATTTTCTGACGTGTCAGTAAAATTCTGACTAAACCTAAAAAAGGAAGTTTGGTATTTTATTTTGAAGGGTGGTGCTGCCGCTGCCCTCCGGGCCGCTGGTGGCGCTGTGGTTCAGCATTTTCATAAACGGCAGAGAAAGAGTCTTGAAACACGTGTGGGGTCTTTTCTGTGTGCGTGTTGTGATCAGCAGGCAGGAGTCCGAGCAGAAAACAATTAAACGGGTATCGATCACCAGTGATTATCGATCAGAAATGACGAAGGTGAAGAAGGAGAAAGTTTCGGAGGAGGGTGAAGAAGCCGGTACCGGGGGCACCGACAGGTCGTACCAGGAGCTGATCGCTCACCTGAACCCGATCGCTCAGCCGCTGGCCTCCAAAAAACTCAGCAAGAAGCTCTACAAATGCGTGAAAAAAGGTGAGAAGAAGAAGAATAACGGCCGGGAAATGTTGGAGATTGCTGTTCTCGTGGAGGTGGCGCCGAACTCTGTTTAAAAATTCACGAATTTAACGGTTTCTTTCTGCTCTGCAGTTGTTAGAGTCGATGTAGGACTTTAAATAAGAAAGTGTTCGAGTCGTCTAAAGCTTCTGGTTAATTCGGCCGTAAACACGTCGTTTATAGATGCACAGTTTCTAATCTATTGGTAATTTTCTGTGAGAAATCAGCGGCTGTTTGTACAGCGTCATCCTCAGTGAAAGGTTCAGTCAGAACCGCTTCCGGTTACACTGGGCGTTTTAAAAGGCAGCTGCATGTGCTTTTATTTTGAAGTGTTTTTAGTATGTGAGAAAATCTCCTTCACAGTTTGGTTTGTGAGGGAACGTTTGTTGTCGGGAATCATGTGAACGATGTGTTCACACTGCAGATGTTAGAGCTTTAAACATCCAGATGTGCTCCTCCTCACTTTAAATGCAGTTTGCAGCTGGACTGGGCTTGAAGGAGGCGCAGATCCTTCATGTTGCACTTGAGCTTAAAACTGCAGGTTTCTGACTGGAGTCTGGTTCAATGTGTCTCTGTTTCTATCGTCCAGCTGCCAAAGTGAAGAACATCCGACGAGGAGTCAAAGAAGTTCAGAAGTTCATCAACAAAGGAGAGAAAGGGTGAGCCGCTGCTGCACCTTCCAGCGCGTCCTCAGGTGTGTCCAGGTGTTCGTGACGATCACAGGTGTGTTTATGTGTTTCTGATGTGTCTGCAGCATCGTGGTGATGGCGGGCGACACGCTGCCCATCGACGTCTACTCCCACCTGCCCGTCATGTGTGAGGACAGAAGCCTGCCGTACGCCTACATCCCGTCTAAAGTGGTGAGTGACAGTGGACAGGTGTGCTGAAGGTCTGTCACCTGATGGGGGCGGGCTCTGAACGCGTCGCTCTGTCAAGGTTGGATGGAGGCGTCATGGGCGTGGCTGAAACTCAGTCTGTGCTTGCAGAGCGCCGCTCACACAGCATGTGTGTGCACTGCTCGCTGCACTTTCCTCAGCGCAGCAGGAAAACGTTACAGTCGACACGAGTGTGTCTCAGAGCGCTGTGTGAATGTGACGTCTCAGACGGTCCGTACGAGTGTGCAGGCGTCCGTGTCTCTGCCTGCTGTTTCTGACCATGTGGACACGGCTGCCCGCGCTCCGGCTGCCCGCGCTCCCCAGGCAGCAGATTATACAATCAGGAGTTCAGCTCTTACTCTGTCTTTGGACAGCGTGCACCGTCTGTGGCTGTGGCGCTCATTTGACCTCACGTCTTGTAGAAAACAGTTGGTGAGGAGGTCGGAGAAGCTGATTGGTTCTTGTACAACACTTTGTACGACTCACAAAACAAACTTTTCAGCTGAAGCTCCAAAAGTCGATTCTGTTCATCTGGACGTTTTCAGTGGGAGAAACGTTTCGTCATCATCAGCTGACTCCTTCAGGGTTCGTTCGCTTGAAATCCTTGAAAATGCTTGAATTTTAATGTTGTCTTTTCAAGGTTTGAAAAGTGCTTGAATTTCAGATGTGGTGCTTAAAAGTGCTTGAAAGTGTAGCTGTGTTTCATTCACCACAAATAACTGATTGAATCGTTTTCTGATCAGATAGAGAAATAAAATGAGTCGCGAATTTTCCCCGCCTGGCTGCCTTGCATCTGTTTCACCGTGTGGCCCCGCCCCTCCCTCGGACAGTCGGGGATGAGTGCGCTAACATACCTGTAGGTCGCTGTTTTAATGAGTGTTTGATGGAAAACAACAATGGCGGAGTTTGTGCTCTCCAGTCATGATAGGTGAGTGCTAGTAAATATTTTCCAGTACGTGTACGTTACACACGCTGTTTTTAAATTGTGATTATTATTTTGCTATCAAACTCGCTGGAGACATGATTGAGATGCACTGAGTGTGATGCAGTATGGCAGCGCTGTTATGGGATATGCTGTGAGCTTAGCTAACATTACTGAGCAGTGATATGAGTTCATTTACTCCAGTGAAAGCTTTAAACATTAGCCCGATACATAACTAGCTAACGTAGGCTTTCTGGTTAACCCTCTGGGACCAGAGTCTCCATTTCAACTTGGGTCGAATGTGCAGATTTCAAACTATGTATCAGTGTTTAAACTGTGTTGATAGGCAACGTAAAACCGATGTTTGTTTGTTTGTTACAACAGTGGCGTTTCCTCCGGGAAGAAACGGTAAAAACAGCGTTTTCTAAGGAGAGCGCCAGCAAGAACGCTTTGCTTGTGAGTGAAAAAAGAAAAAGAAAAAACACTCCATCCCTATTGGTGGAAAAATGTTAACGTGTGGACCAATCAAAAAATGATACGGCAACATGTGGCATCTGGTTGTTTGGGAAGAGGAGGAGGTTTTAGGAGTGAGCGAGAGAGAGAGAGAGAGGGAGGTTTGTGACGTTTGCCATGTTTGGAGTCTCAAGTTAGTGTGTTGCATTTTGTAGTTAGTGTGTAGTCGTTGTTTTGTGTGTCAGTTCTAGTAGTGAACGTCACAGTTGCTGCAAAAAAGCCACCAACAGCAGACTGCAGTGTAAAGATGTTTGTGGGTTTTGCAGTCAGTAAGATCTCTTTCTACTCGTATTTTAAATTTTGTCTGAATTTAGATCAATTGTGCTGAAACAGTTTGTCAAAATGAGAAAATAACAGATTGGCAAGATAAACAGTTTTTAAAGGTGAAAGATAGAGAACAGATCAACCCTGGAGCCAGAGGGTCAGAGGCTAAAAGTACTCTTTATATTTGTGTGTGTAGCTGCAGCTTCTTTGAGTATTAACTTGGTGCTTTTGGGTGAAGTGATGGTGATATGACTGATCCAAAGAATAGCCTCTTGTTTCTGTGCGACCACAGTTTCATTCAAACTGTGTTTATCGTCAGCACCGACACATTAAACCACTTCAACATTATAAATGTCTTCAAGCTCACACTGAGGCCTGTGGGGCACAATCAGCTGCTGAGACAGTTCACACAGTTATGTGTGTTTGTACATGAATATTTCATACTGTAAGGCTGCCTGTTTATTTAAGGCAGATGAACAAAATACACTGGACTTGTACATAATAATATGACAGATGATAAATTAAATATTTTAAGTGGATGCTTGTGCATCCTTAAAGTCTTATATGTTGAATTGAAGTATGTGATGTGTTCAGAGCCTCCCAGTCTGTGCTGTTCTCCAGTCTGACTGTGCATGATGTTATCAGCACAAACACTTCAAAGGTGACGTTTAGGCCTTCAGCAATGATACAGACAGCGACGTAGTTAGCAAAAGGTTTTATTGGGAATTAACTTAAAAAACAAACAAACATCTGTCACACAGGAAAGAAGCATCAATATCTGATGAGAAGACTTACTTATTTATTTTTGGGGGGGTCAACAGGAGAAGAATATCTAACGAGTTGATTTGACTTAATTTTAAGTGAAAGGTGCATTTTGAGTTTATACAGGATGTGTAGAAGGCCGTTTCCTTTTGCAGTGGTTTGTTTTTCTGTTTCTTAACAAAAGGTGAACAAAGATGTTTAAGTTCACCTGGGATGAGTTGTTTTCATTTTCACATGGTCTTACTGAGGTGACGCGAATCGAAACATGCATTCTTTTTTTGGGGGGGTGCTGGAAAAGCTTGAAAAGGGACCTTGAAAGTGCTTGAAAAGTGCTTGAATTTGACCCTGAAAAAGGCGTATGAACCCTGCTTCTTCAGTCTCAGCTGACTGCAGATTTCAATCTTATAAACAGGACATTTGCATAATGACTGAAACCAGCCCACTGAAGGAACAACGGGCTGGGGGGTCAGCTCCTTAATCTTAATTATGCAGATTCTCATGACCGCTGATCAGTGGCCATGAGCACCATTGAAAACATCCAGATGAACAGAATCAACTTTTGCAGATTTACTTCCCTGGATGATCGAGTGTGCATCGAGACGTTTTCAGTAGAAAAGCTTTCTTGCATGCAGATCAAACCACCAACCTTCTGATTAGTCGATGACCGGCTGAGCTTCAGCCAATCAATCAAATCAAACGTCTGATCATGTGACACGTGAGCACGCGTCAGCTTCAGACTCTTATTTTCAAATCTTTTGTGATTTCCTGACTTTTAGTGTTGGGATAATTTCTCTTATTTTGAAAAGTCTGTGTGCTT